TGACCAGGTGGGAGGTGTGCTGTCAGCCTGCAGGGACCGCAGTGCTACCTTTCCCCAGGCATGTTATACTCACCTTGGGCACAGATGTCCCCCAGCGTGGAGGTGGCAGTTTTCAGGTCCACCTCGTTGCTGGCGATACATGTGAAGCTGGTGTTGGCCTGGTCCAGGGGCAGGCGCACAGCCAGGGGCCAGGTACTGGGGCCTGGTCCCAGGGTCCCTGTCTGCTGCCACTTCCTGGGGAGGTCACTGTGCCACCAGATCACATTCAGGTCCTCCGAGGCCCCCACGGCTGTGCACTCCAGGGTGACATTGCACCAGTCTGCTGTGACAAACAGTGACTTGGCCAGGATCTGGGGGAGGGGCACTGGCTCTGTGGTGGAGGGGAGGGGGAGACAGAAGGCTCAGGTGGGGGCCTCCACAGTGCAGGTTCTCACCCAGTCTCACCGAGTGCTGGCGTCCTCCTGCTGAGGAGGTGAGAGCATTTTCCAGGTGAAACAGAATTAACCAAAATCCACAGCAAGCGATTATAAGGAAGGGAGCTGTGGGGTGAAGCCTGACGTGATTCTACCAGACTGAGCATGTCTTAAAAATCTCCCTCAAGAAAATAAAGCCTGGACCCCACCTACTCAAGGCCCATTATTTCTCAGAAGTTGGGGTGTCTCCTGGGAGGTGTAGAGTCTGGCACAGGAGGAACGGCCCAGGCCAGGGCCATGCTCTGCGTCTCCTGCTGAGGCCCCGTGGGACGGCTCGGCCCAGGGAGAGAGGAAGCCGCCAGCTCTGGGAGCCCAGAGAAAGGCCTGTGCTCCCGCAAACAGACATTTGTGGGAAAGGCGGTGATAGCGACGAGGAAGGGCCGCTGTGAGCGGGGTTAGCACAGGCCTCTGAACTTGAGGTCCACACAGGAAGCCAAGTGACAGAATCCTACGGAGACTTAAAGCTGCAGAAGCCACTGGCTGCAGCAGGACGTCCCCTATGCAGAGAGGTTCTCTAGGGAAGGAAAGAAGTGGCCTGATGAGCCTAAGAAGTGTGGCCGTGTGACCTGTCCCCGGCATGTCCGGAGGCTTTCCGAGCTGGATGTGTGGGGTGTTGGTGAGTGAGGCCTCGGTCAGGTGCTGGGTGAGCGCGGGCAGGGCAGGGAGCACCTGCCTACACGTGGGTTTCCAGACTGTGGTGGGCCGAGCAGCGGCCCCCACGATGTCCACGTGGTAGCTGTGAAATCCTGTGAGCACGTTGGATGAGTTGCAAGGAGAATAGGGAACAGAATTACCATTGCTAATCAACTGCAGGACAATAAGGCGGTTCTTGGGGAGAGTCTGCGTGGGACCGTGTGAGCTCAAGGTCCTTCAAAGTGGAAACGGAAGGAGAGGGTTCAGAGGGCGGCAGCGTGAGAAGGATGAGACCCAGCACTGCTGGCCTGGGAGGTGGGGTGGGTGGTCCCCATGCAGGGACGCGGGTGCCACTGGGAGGCGGGGAGGGTGGACCCATGCAGGGATGCGGGTGCCACTGGGAGGTGGGAAGGGCAGTGTTGGGTCCCCAGAGCCCGCAGAAGGGAACCAGCCTTGCCGTCCCTCTTCCTCCTGCTCAGTGTGTGACCTCTTACCACGTCCCGGTGAGATAATGAGTCTCTGTGGATCTAAGCACAGAGCTGTCGTGCTTTGTGACAGCAGCACAGAAAACTAACTCACCGATGACGTATGGCTGCACTGATTCCTCTAAAGAGGCAGAAGTGTTGTGGTGATAATCCCATCCCCTCTGTGGTTCTGTCTTCATGTCCCAAACACTGCAGTGACTCTAGCTCAGGTGTGAGTGTCAGGTCTGCTCTGCACTTGTGCTGAG